CTGGTTGTCGAAGAGTGGATAAGAGGCATGGAGCGCATATTTCGACACATTGCTTGTACGGATGCACAGAAAGTATTATGCGCAGAATTTATGTTGATTGGAGCAGCTGGTCACTGGTGGGAATCTGTTTCACATACAAGGACGGAAGAGCAGCAACGTAATCTGACTTGGGAGCAGTTTAAAGACGAAGTGCTGGCAAAAATATTTTCCACAAGCTTTGAGGGACTTCAAGGAATTAGAATTTCAGCAGCTCAGACAGGGGAACATGTCACGTACTGATTATGAAAGGCAGTTTGAGCAGCTCTCGAGGTATGCCCTGTACTTGGTGGATACAGAAGTTAAGAAGATTAGGAGGTTCGAGAATGGACTGCGCCCTGAGATCGGCATGATCATTATGTCCCATCGTTTCACCTCATATCGTGAAATGTTGGAGAGGGCTCATGCTATTTCATATCAGAGGACCTCATTTGAACAGTATGCCCAGCAGAGCAAGGAGTCATTGGGGAAAAGGAAGTGGAGTGATTAAAACAAGAACAGACGCAATTGGCAGAATAAAAGGCCAAACACAGGAATTCGCATTGGTGGGACGAGTGGAAGTATTACCCCCTGTCCTAAGTGTAATAAACTCCACATGGGTGAATGCTGGTTTGGGAAGAACGTGTGCTTTAGGTGTGGTAAGCCCAGACACATCGTTCTCAACTATCCAGAGCCTCCAAAGAAGAAGGATGATGATCAAGACCAAAATAAGAAAGGAAAGGGCTGAGTTTTCGCACTGAATCAGCATGAGGCGGAGCAGGATCCGAATGTGATAGCAGGTATTTATAAATTTTTCTTTTTTTTTTTTTTACATACCTACCTATATTCTTTTTACCTAGGACTAAACATCGTTTCATTTCTATCCTTTGGTTGCTAGTCTAACATTATAATTACAAAAATAGGTATTCTGTTATTATCCAATGTGCCTGCTTACATACTTTTTGATTCTGGGGCAACCAATTCTTTTATATCTGCATCCTTCGTCACTAGGTCCAACTTTGCATCTGTGAGAACAAATAATGAATTAGAGGTTAGCATTCCGTCAGGAAAAACTCTTTGCACAAACCAGATGACTAAGTCTATGAAGTTAGAGATTGATGAAAAAATATTGGAGGCAGACTTATACCTCTTGGAAATGAAAGATTTCGATGTTATCTTAGGCATGGATTGGTTAGGACTTAATCATGCTACCATTCGATGTCACGAAAAAGAAGTGCTATTTTATAGACCAGGAGAGGAAGAGTTTCGTTTCTTTGGAGCAAAGTTCAAGTCCCTACCTCGTCTTCTATCAGCTATACAAGCGGAGAAGATGTTAAGAAAGGAGTCATGCCAGGGATTCTTGGTTATCATTATCGGTTCCCAACATACAGAAACGACTGTTAACAATATTAATATCGTGCGAGACTTTGCAGATGTGTTCCCAGAAGATTTGCCTGGCATTCCACCAGGTAGGCAAGTGGAATTTACAATTGATTTAATTCCTGGAGCAACGCCAGTATCTAAGGACCTATACAGAATGACACCGAAAGAACTTCAAGAATTGAAGTTGCAATTGGAGGAATTGCTGGAAAAAGGTTTCGTTCGACCAAGTGTATCTCCTTGGGGAGCTCCTGTACTTTTTTCAAGAAGAAGGATGGGAGTATGAGGATGTGCATTGACTATCGAGAATTGAACCATCTGACCATCAAAAATAAATATCCGTTGCCAAGAATAGAAGATTTGTTTGACCAGTTAAGGGATGTTTCGGTGTTTTCAAAGATCGACTTGAGGTCAGGGTATCATCAACTGAAAATCAGGGCAAGCGATATATCGAAAACTGCTTTCAGGACTCGGTATGGGCATTATGAATTCACTGTCATGCCTTTTGGTTTGACCAATGCTCCGGCTGTATTTATGGATCTCATGAACAGAGTGTTCCATCAATACTTAGATCAGTTTGTCATAGTATTTATTGACGACATACTCGTGTACTCCAAAGATAAGAAGCAGCATGAGGAACAACTCCGAATAGTACTTGAGACTTTGAAAAATGAGAAATTATATGCTAAATTCAAGAAGTGTGAATTTTGGCTTGATCGCGTAGGTTTCCTTGGTCATGTGGTTACCGCCCAAGGAATCGAAGTAGATCCTGCTAAAGTGGAAGCAGTAACAAATTGGCCAAGTCCGACTAGTGTGGGTGAAGTCCGCAGTTTCTTGGGATTGGCTGGCTATTACAGAAGATTCATTGAAGGTTTCTCAAAAATAGCAGGGCCGATGACTCAGTTAACAAGAAAGGGTGTGAAGTTTCAGTGGACGGAAAAATGTGAAAAATGTTTTCAAGAACTCAAGCAGAGGCTAGTCTCAGCACCTGTATTGACGATACCTAAAGGTTCAGAGGGATTTGTGATCTATAGCGATGCCTCAAAGCATGGTTTGGGTTGTGTACTTATGCAGCATGGAAAAGTGGTTGCTTATGCCTCGAGACAGTTGAAGCAGTATGAACAAAACTACCCAACACACGACTTGGATCTTGCAGCGGTAGTTCATGCCTTAAAGATATGGTGTCATTATCTCTATGGTGGGAAGTGTGAAATTTATACAGACTACAAGTCTTAAATACTTCTTCACACAGAAGGAACTGAATATGAGATAGAGGAGATGGTTGGAACTAGTAAAAGATTACGATTGCACGATTCATTACCATTCGGGTAAGGCTAACATAGTTGCAGATGCCCTAAGCAGAAAGACAGGATCACAGTTAACAGTTCTACCCACAGTGCAGAAACACTTGGTAAGAGACTTTGAGAAATTGAGATTGGAAGTTATCACGCCACCGACTCAGACTACAGCAAGAGTAAGAGCGTTTATGATTCGGCCTATTCTTCGTAATCGAATCAAGGAGGCACAGAATAAGGATCCATTCCTACAGAAGATAAAGGCTGAGGTTGGCACAAACAAACGTATGGGATTTGAAATGTCTGCAAATAATGCCCTGACTTTCAAAGGAAGGTTATGTGTACCTAAAGATGAAAGTATAAGAAATGAGATACTGGAAGAGGCTCACTCTGCCCCGTACAGCACATCCAGGTGGTACGAAAATGTATCGAGATCTCCGAGATACATTTTGGTGGAGAAATATAAAGAGATGAATTGGTCAATTCATTGAAAAATGTTTTATCTGTCAGCAGGTCAAGGCAGAACACCAAAGACCATCAAGACTACTAAAACCATTGGATATTCCAGAATGGAAGTGGGAACATATAACAATGGACGTTGTGGTAAGCCTCCCAAGGACAGCAAAAGGTCACAATGCTATTTGGGTAGTGGTTGATCGTTTGACGAAGTCAGCCCATTTTCTACCAATCAAGGTGAACTTCAACATGGAACAGTTTGCACAGCTATACATCAAAGAGATAGTCAGATTGCATGGAGTTCTAGTCACTATTGTTTCAGATAGAGATCCGAGGTTTACGTCTAAATTTTGGAAAAGTTTGCAGACAGCCATGGGGACGAAACTGAAGTTTAGTACTGCTTATCATCCACAGACAGATGGACAATCAGAAAGAACCATTCAAACCCTTGAGGATATGTTGCGGGCATGTGTTTTGGATCTTGGAGGTAGTTGGAAGACACACCTGCCTTTAGTGGAATTTGCTTACAACAATAGCTTCCAGGCCACTATAAGTATGGCCCCATACGAAGCTCTTTATGGTAGGAAGTGCAGATCCCCTATCCATTAGGATGAGGTTGGAGATAACAGAATTTTAGGTCCTGAAATTATTGAACGAACAGTTGGGGCAGTTGACAACATTAGAGCCAGAATAAAGACTGCACAGGACCGACTGAAGAGTTATGCAGATCGTAGGAGAAAGGATTTGGAATTTAGTGTGGGCGACAAAGTTTTCCTTAAAGTAGCACCCATGAAGGGCGTATTGAGATTTGGCAAGAAGGGAAAGTTGAGACCGCGATTTATTGGACCTTTCGAAATCCTTGAAAGGATTGGCGTTATGGCTTATCAACTTGCCTTACCCCCTGAACTTGCAGCAGTGCATAACGTGCTTCATATATCGATGCTCAGAAAATATATTCATGACCCCAATCATGTAATAAGTTACCAGACATTGGATGTATAAATGGACTTATCATATGAAGAAACCCCGATGATGATTTTGGAGAGAAAGCTACATCAACTCAGAAACAAAGAGGTTTCCTTAGTCAAGATCCAGTGGCGAAATCATGGACTTGATGAGTCAACTTGGGAGAAAGAAGAGGAGCTTAAAGCCAAGTATCCAGAGCTCTTTGAGTAACCAAGGTAAATTTTCGAGGATGAAAATATTTAAATGAGGGAAGATTGTAGTAACCCAAATTTTCATAGAATAAAATTTGATTTATGTATGCTAAGTTTTAATATTTTAAAATTTTAGGGACTAAAATATATACAAAGTAAAATTGAATTTTATTCGGGTTAAAATGTAGATATTGACGGAGCGATAATAAGTATATGAATATTGGTCTCGTTGGAAAGCTCGTATTTAATCATGCATGTTAGGCTCGAGAAAAAGTGGATTTGGATTAATGGAGCTTAAATTATTGAGATCGAAAGATTTAGCCTTAAAATATTGTTATGATTATTTTTATTATTATTTTATTTGAGTATGCATTGTGTTGGAAGATTCACGTGGAAGAATTTGGTAGGATTTAATTGGTTAACTAATAATTAAAAAAAAAAAATATTGAAGAGAGAGATATAAAAAGATATGGCAACCACGTGAGAGAGAGAAGCAGCTTTATTAATATTT